ACACACAACCACAACACACAAACACAAACACAACCACAAACACACAACCACAAACACACAACCACAAACACACAACCACAAACACGCAACCACAACAACACGACCACAAAGACACAACCACAAACGTATAGCCACAAGCACAACCGCAAACACATCCACAAACACACAGCCACAAACACACAATCACAAACACAACCACAACCACAACACACAACCGCAGCACACAACCCGAGGACCCACAAGCAAAATCGAGAACTACAATACTCACGACCATGGCAACATGCTCCTCATTATGGCATCAAGTCAAATGATTGAAATGTCATGGTGGGGATCACTCGAAGTAAAGTAATTTTTGACAACCAGTTGGAGCAACTTTAATAGTTGCATGCATGCATGTTTAACCATGATACCTGGGTCAGCTCGACACGTAAAAACCTGGGTTTCTTGAGCTCTCAGCCAAGTTTGGACTTATGACTTGCATCATATCTACCTTGCCCAAAGTCAGCGTTTTCCTTACCGATACCCCGATACGATGGGATGAGAAACGCTCTGAAAAACCAACTGACGCGTACACCATACACCCATATACTGTAAGAACTTTGCCTCATCAATTTTCCAACCTGCACTCCTATGGTCCAGGACACCCAGGGTTTGAAGGATCTAGCAGTCCAGGGTCCCGTTTGCGAACGTGGAGTGCCTACAAGATCTCATCGACTATATGGAAGTCTGTTGTCTATTCCCTGTCTCTCCTAATACCTCCAACATACTCGCTTCGATGGTCGGGCTACGAAACCGACCGGGCTCAGCTACTACCACCTTCGGATGCAGGACAGGAGACCTTCATGGATTGAACGTTTGCAAAGAGACCCGAACGTAGCGACCGAACGCTCCGAAACGTAGCTGTGAAACGGACGGCACGGACGGCTGAGCTGAAGGCAGATCCTCTCCCCTACCTCTGAGCTGAAGCTCGCTCCTGAGGCTCAGTCGCGCCCAAGAGCTGCGTGGTTCGATCGGGAGCACAGGCTGAGCACTCCTGAGTTGGCCGGGCGCCCCATCCGGCGTTCTGGGACCCACAAGTGAACCGGGCGAACGGCATGGACCAAACGGCGATGGCGATTGCCGTTAAACCGTTAACCGGTGGTTCTTTTTGGATGTTCCATGTGGGTCTCGTACCCAGGGTGATGTTCCATTACCAAACAGAAGCAGTGTTTTTGTCAGCAATGATTTGAAGGAAGAAGACCCAAACAGACCAGACCAAAAGGACCTGGAAGAGGAAACGAAGCGACCAGCTCGTCTCGCCAGGTCCCATGCGATGTCTGGTCTGTGAACTCGGCTGTTCGGTCTTCTTAAAGACCCGAAGGAAGTTCGCCCTGGAAAAAGAACAACGCATTTTCCCAACATGGATCGACATGGTCATTTTCCACTAAAAAGTACGTTCCAAACAAAAGTGACCTGCTGCTCAAAGAAAACTAAACATTCCCTGGAATCACCATGGTCAGTGGAGTGAAACAGTGGAGTGAAACCAAAACCACCGCCAGAACCTCTTCCGAACGATTTCATGGTCCGTCCATGTTCATCTCAATTTTGAGGTGGCCATCCGAGTCCGTGTCATGCCACAAAAGCTAGCTTAGGGCCTAGGGTTGTATAGACAATGGCTCCAGCACCGGATGAACATGCTGACTGCAAAACCCCCGGTCCAAGAAGGAACAACCAAATCCGCCCAGTCCGACCGGTCTCTTCTCTGCACTCAGACCGGTACCTGCCGCTCGCCAGGATTCCATCTGTCCTTGGAAGCTTTGATAAAATCCAACTCCGCAAACTCGGCACTCCTCGGGGCGACGTGAGCACACGCCGAGCGATGAACGAGGGAAGGCGAAGCGATAGGCGAGCTGCTGGAATGCGCCAGCACTATGCTGGCTCTGCCGGCTAGGGCCATGGGGATCTAGGGCTGAAGGACATTGGCAGAGTCCCTAAACCTATATATAGCTTTATATGTAGAGTTTGATTAGGACATCGCACACAAACAAGAAACTGCCTGTTTGGGGTGGATGCACGTGTTTTTTCTTTTTGTGAGGGATAAAACCTCCGATTCGGATGGTGGAGCAGGATTGGAAAGGATCTTCACAAGAAAAGGCAACAAGATCTGAAGGAGACTCGTCGTCACACATCTTCGTTTCTGGCGTCCAAAATGCAAAATCCCCAAAGGATGGATGCCCCCAACCTTGGTAGGGCGGTGATTTTGAGTCCTTGGTCCAAGAGTCCTTGCTGGCTGGCACGTTGCTGAAGGTCCCGCGTGCGCAAGGTTCACACGTGGTAGACAAAGACTGTGATTGGCTGGTGCCCGGCGCGCAGGGCACGCAGCGATGCGTCTTCCCCTTGTCATCCACGTACCTGATCTGGCATAAGGTTCATGAGTGTTTGGATAGGATTGACATTTCATGATCGCTATTAGGTTGGAGGCCATTGCAATATAGTTACAGAATGTTATAGTGACTAATTCCAAGCTTTGATTTAAATGCAAACCTTCCAGTCCGTTGGTGCCGGACTGGCTCGACGTGTACACCTCTTCTGTCCAAACGAGTCGGGGGAGTTCCCTGCCACACGAAGAAACACAAACACATGGGAAGCGAAGACATGCGCATGTTTGGGAATGTTGCACAGCCATGGTAGTTGAATAAAGAAGAAGCGCACGCATTCACAGGATCAAACACATCCCAAAACACTGCAAATAACATAATCGTATATATTTATCAATTCTCATGCTGCTGTCTTTAGCCACCCTGTGGGCATAGGATAAATGCTCAACATCGCCAACTGGCAGAAATCCACTGCTTTGTACCTTGTCCTGGTCCAGCAGAACCCTCCCTGAAACACACTCAGGACAGAACGTGGCTCCACAAAATCACTGCTTTTTGCTTCCCCACGTCACTGCCCACTTTGTTTGAGCCCCAGCGGCTCTTGCGAGAAGAATCCGGCGGCACAGCGTTCGCAGGTGCTGGCGCCCGAGCGATTGGCCAGGAACTGGCCTTCCACATCGACCAGACCAAAGCCCGCCGTGCAGCTGGTCTCAATGGTCACCCACTCCTGGAGTGCTGGATCCTCATGGGGCTGGATCCTTATGACCCTGAAGAGAACAGGGGTCGCATGACGACAACAACAACAAAGAACAGGGGTCGCTGTCATGATTTCTCATGTTCTGATGTACACCTTGACCCTGAAGACAAGAACAAACACAGAAATAGATCGCCGTGAAGACCTGTCATGCCAGTCCCCTATAGTGCCTGGGTAGTGCCTGGGTATGTCTTCTGAATGACAACCCAAACCGCAATTTGTGCCCCAAATCGTAACATGTCCATGTTTTTCCTCTCAACGACTCAGCAAGGTAAGTGTGGGAATGCGAAGGAACGTTCACACATCCCACCCCAAGCCATGCCACGAAGGGGTGTGAGCCTGCGAGGTAAACATGAGTTGGAAAGTATCATGTAAAGATACCAGGACCCTCTAAGGGGTGCCCAATGGAAGCCTATAGGTAGTGTGGGGTAGTCCATTGGACACCCCTTGGAGGGTCCTGGTATGTGCACAATGCAGTTTTCATAGGACGGAAACGAGTCCGCTGGCTACAACATGAACCACGTGCCAGCTCGCCTGAGTCACATGAGCTCTTCATCGATCATCAGGTCCCCGAGCTCTCCAACATATTGGTAGGTCGACCGTCCCTATGGATCCACTGCCACCTTCTGAGGTACGGTGATGTGTTCCACACGGTGAATCTCCAGGTGGTTTGGAGTGTCCAGGTTGGTCCCGAACCAGGTCGCGGATGGCTGGATCGGTCGATCCCGATTGGCTGGGGCAGTTGGGGCATCTCCACATGGCGCCATGTGACCCGCCCGGGCCCATGGCTGCGACCCCGAGTGGAGCGGTGGCAGCGAGTGAACACATGCCCCGCGTGCAGGGGGGAAGATTAGACCCAGAAACTGGGTGTGTATTCTTGAGGGAGAACCCTGCAAGCGACTGGGCAGAAAGGGCAGTGACTGCAGTGTGAGTTGTGCACAACTCTTGAGATGATGAGCACAAACAAAAAGACTCATGGTTCCATGGATCTCATGGCCCCAGAGCTGTTCCAGGATGACGAAATCCAAAGACTCGGGATGACTCGGATGACTCGTTTTCAGATGATGTTGAGATGTTTTGAGCTTCATGAAGGAGGTCGGGGTGCCCCCTCTCATCCGAACCCAACCGCCCAACTCCATGTGACTCCTGATAGGTACTCCCCCGCAAACTAACATAAAACCTGCGAATTGACCTGTGGGTTCGACCATTTTCCGAATACCAACCCAGTGGTTTTGGGGTTCCATGTGGTCCGAATAGCAGGGAGTGGGCCTCTTCCAGACCTATGGATGGTGAAATCGGGCATGTGAAATCGGTCCTCCCACTTGTCTCGGTTCAGGCGGATCCAATCACAAGCGGCTTCTTTCATTGAGCTCCGCTTGGCCTCCACAAAGAAAAGGCTGATGGTAATGAGATGGGAAGAGGGTGAGGTCATCTGTGCCTCGTTCCTACTGCTTGTGGACAGGAAAACCAATGAACCCATAAGAATACAGTGATACTGGGAAGGGAAGGGATTTTTCTCTATATATACTATAGTCTGTATAGTATTTGGAATCTACGGGTGCGCCTGAAAATGCATCGAAACTCTCTACCCCCCAACGTCTATAAAAGCGGATCAGCTGGCCACCGAACCACCAATGTTGGTTACTTACTGAACAACGGCAAAGAAAGGAACGGAGTGCTCTCAAAGTAGTCTCACTCTCAAACATCATGAGAATGGAATGCTTTGGAATCTCCCAGTGGTCTCGGTCTCAAAGCAGTCTCAATGGATCTCACTGGAATCCCACTTGATTTCAAGAATCCCGATTCAATTGATACGATCGCTGTTTGCTCACCCACAAACATCTTCCGAACAACAAACGTGTGTCTCCGGCATAGTCCGCAGCTCTTCCCGAAAAAGATATGTAGATTTGCAGTTGTTGTTGCTGCTGCTCTTAGTCAAAGCAATGGAGCTGCGGTCTTTTTTTCTAGGAAGGGTGAAAACACCCTTGGGGCAAGGTGCAAAAAGCAACCACGGGGCTCCAGTTGGTTGTTTCTAGGATGTGGTAGAAGTTCCTATCTTATAGATTGTAGTAGTAGTAGTAGTAGTAGTAGTAGTAGTAGTAGTAGTAGTAGTATATAGTGAATAGTAGTAGTAGAATATAGTAGTAGTAGTATATAGTAGTAGTATATAGTAGTAGTAGTATATAGTAGTAGTAGTAGTAGCAGTAGTAGTAGTAGTAGCAGTAGTAGTAGTATATAGTATGTAGTAGTATATAGTATGTAGAAGTATATAGTATATAGTAGTATTAGTAGTAGTAGCAGTAGTAGAGGTAGTAGTTTATAGTAGTAGTAGTAGTAGTAGTAGTAGTAGTAGTAGTAGTGGTGGTAGTAGTAGTAGTAGTATATAGTAGTAGTAGTAGTAGTAGTAGTAGTAGTAGTAGTAGTAGTAGTAGTAGTAGTATATAGTAGTAGTAGTAGTAGTAGTAGTAGTAGTATATAGTAGTAGTAGTAGTATATAGTAGTAGTAGTAGTATAGAGTAGTAGTAGTATAGAGTAGTAGTAGTAGTAGTAGTAGTAGTAGTAGGAGTAGTAGTAGTAGTAGTGTAGTAGTAGTAGTAGCAGTAGCAGTAGCAGTAGCAGTAGGAGTAGTAGTAGTAGTAGTATATAGTAGTAGTATATAGTAGTAGTATATAGTAGTAGCAGTAGTAGTAGTATCAGAAGGAGTAGGGGTAGGAGTAGGAGTAGGAGTAGGCGTAGGAGTAGGAGTAGTAGTAGTAGTAGTGAGTAGTGAGTAGTGAGTAGTGAGTAGTGAGTAGGAGTAGTAGTAGCAGCAGTAGTATTGGTAGCAGTCGTAGTCGTAGTCATAGCAGTAGCAGTAGTAGTAGGAGGTAACGAAGCTGTGGTACTACTCGTCCCACGACTACTACTAGACTACTTACCACCACTGCTACTACTATGTTACTACTGCGTACTACTGGAAATACCAGTTCGGGCTTGTTGTTTTGGGGGGGCTTCAAAAAACAGACTGCGGGGCTGCAGTTCTTTTTTGTACCATGGGGTAGAGACAACGTATGAACATGTTGGTTGACGGGGATGCAGTTCTTGCTTCTAGGAGAAGGTAGGGTAAGAAGATGTGCGTGGACGGGACTGCATTTTGTTTTACCTTGTTATTGCTATTGCTGTTGATGGTGCTGTTGCTGCTGCTGCTGTTGTTGCTTCTGTCTCTTCTGTTCCTTCTGCTTTTTCGTCATGAAGTCAAAACTCATCTTCATCCGGTTCCGTCCTTCAAGAGAAGATCCATGATCTCCCCCAACTCCATCAGCACACTCGACACAAACTCCTGGTGTGGATGAGTTGGTGTCATGCGCGTCGTTCCAAGCTGTTCTGGTGGTCTGGTCATTCCAGCTACTCCCCGAAAGCAGGAAATCCAGCTACAGACCTTGGACCCAACAAACCAAGTCAGTGGACTCCTATCTTCCACATCTTCTGCTGCAGCGCATGGGTTACACAGGGGAAAGAAGACATTCTGATAAGGGTACTGGACCGAATTGAATCTATCAGCGATTATCGTTTCCAACTCTCGCTTTTTCCAATACCATCTGCTTGCCTTTCCGGGCCCTGAAGCCTTCAGGTGAGAACCAGCTGACACAAATAGATTCCATTCGTCTTCCGTTCGAGCATTAAACTAAACGGTGACTGACTAGGTTTCTTAGTGTGAAATCCTTAGTAAAACAATGATTGTTCAGCTTAAAGGCATGTAAAAACCACTAAATCAACGGTGGTTGGAAGCTTGAGGTATTCCTTTATGGTATAATTCGGCCAAAAGGGGAAACCCGTGAGTGCCACTCAAATCCATGGCCATCAAACGTGTTTGGGCCGTGGCCCAAGGGCCTCGTCCAAGGGGGGTGGCTCTTTCTGTTACAGCGGGCCATCAGAGTAGATGGCGCTCTGCCCTATTTTGGGCGGTTTAGATGGACCCCCATCTGCCGGATAGACATGTTAGGTGCCAGTGTAGAACAATTTGTTCAGCTGATGACCCACTGTGTAGCTCAAATAGGAAGACCTCCCAGGCAACGACCCTCTGGAAAGGATTGGAAAATAGAGCAAAACCATCCAAAACCCAGCCAGGGCCAGTCTCTCTATTCAAATACGCACTATAGATATATCATGATATATATCAATATCTGTTTGTACGCGTGAACACCACTCGCCAATACGTCTCTGGCGCCATCGGGTCGAAGCGATCAAACCAACAAACCAGGTCCGGTACGAGACAATCTTCGACGACGCCGCCGCTGGGACGATCTTCGACGGTGTCCTCCACTCTGCTGGCCTTCGAGTACAAATTGGCGCTGACCATCTTTCCAATGTAACTGCCCGTGGCACCTGGAGGAGCGAAGACAGACTGAGCTTCGAAGCAAGCAAAGCATTCAAAAAGAAGAACATTTTAAAAGAAAAGGTATGATACCAAAATGAAATCTATTTTAGGTATCCTTTAGATAATCTTTGGTATCCTTTAGATATCATTAGGTATCCATTAAAAGACCCTATAATGATATCTAAAGAGTACCAGCTCCTTTCAACCTCTCACCCATTGAACCCCTCCGGAAAAATCCATTTCTAGCGTGTCCAAGACCCTGCAGGCTACATCCAGTATATTTCATGTGTTTCATGGAAGGATGTTCCATGTGTTTTTTTTTATCCCCGCGCTTGACCTCTCAACCAGTCGAAGGGTTGGTAGGGTCATGATCTTTTGTTCGAGCCTCGCCTCGCCTCACTGGGTCGAGCCGCCTTTTGTGAGCCACAGCCGAAGAACTCTCCAAAACAGGATCAACAGGCAGTCAAGTATTCCGAATGACCAGCAACCTTCAACAGGTGTCTTGAAGTAGCCTCTTAGAGCAGGGTCTTTTGAAGTGACATTTTAGTTTTTGGGGTATTCTTATAGGGATCCACATGGATCCACGTAGAGATGGTGATTGGAGACACCTTTACCTTTTCTGAGAAGGTTGCGACATGTTTCTAGTCTTCACTCTTTCTGGGGTTCTTAGGCATGTCAAGCCAGCACTTTCAAACACTCCAAGTAAATCCAAGTAATTCTTCGCCCTAATCAAGCCTCACCAGGCATCCCCTCATGCAGAAAATGTCAAGGGATGTTTCTCACCAGATGCAAACCCGGGCTAGCCCGGTTGAGCAGCACTGCCCTTTCGCAGCGCGCGGCGCTGCGCGACACGTCCGCCCTCCGCACGGACGGTCGAGCCTGTGCTTTTGTCCCCTCGCGCCCAGCCAGAGGGACTGTGGCGCGGGAGAATCACTTGTTCCGGCTCCATTTCGATGAAAGTGGAATCCGGGATCCACCAATACCTACCAGTGCAGCAGGCCACAAAGAGACCGAGTGAAAACGGCCTGTTTTGGGGGGTCGATCTTGTTCGGACACATGAGATCAACATCGAAGATTGATAGTCCAAAATACTGCTGGACACGAGTCTTTCCTGCTTTTGGGAGCTGACACATGTCTGGAAGCACCACCAACACCAGTGCCTTGAGCAGGGTTTTCCAGAGATTCGGGAAAGCCCGACAGGTCTTGGGGGCGAACCGCGTGCCGCTTGCCGCTTCGCGCGTCGCGTGTCGCTTCGGAAGACATCCTGGACACCTGCGGACGAAGAACAGCATACTCACTGGGTGTAGAGACGGGCAAACGACGGGTTCGGCGGAGAAGGGCAAGGACGACCAGTCTCTACAGGTGGGGCTGGAGAACTCTCTCCCTGAAAAGACACAGTCACACCCATTTGGACCTCTCCAAGAGTGAACACTGGAGAAATCTCGAGGAGCCTTTTGCTGCAAAAAATCCTTTCTTCAGTCACCGGTCGTTGTTGACGTCAAAGAACCCTCTCAAAAGCATTGGGTCATCAAAAGCCTCTACTCGTAGAACAAAGCATGGTGGCTTACTTCCGAACAATGCACTCTGCAAACAGCCAAACAAATAGATTGTCTTTTAATGTAATTTAATGTCTATTAGAACAGCATTCCCCGAAGTGAAACCAACAACCACCCCTGGAAGATGAATATATTGAATCCTAAGCCCACTTCCGGTTGAGGTGCTACAAACATCTGTCGGAGTTCAAGCCCCTCGGGCATCACCGAGTACTGATGAACCATGATGAGGTTCAGGTTCTGGTTAAGCTCTCAAACAGTGCCACGCTAGGTGGGAGCTGAGTGACAACACTTGAGGAAAAAAGGCCGAACCGGAAGTTCAGTCGAACATGTTCAGTCGAAGTTCCACAGGCTGCGATGCGTTTCGACATGGGTGATCCAGTTGGAGTAGCTGCTGGAGATGGCAAGCGCAGCCGGAATGGAATAGGCAGTGGCCCACTGCATCAGGGACCTCGCTGGCGTCGGTCGGTCGGCACGACGGCTTATTCCGCAGTGCCTCGATCCAAGTCCGGAAATGGCATGGAATATCATGGAATGGCCATGTCGTATATCGCTGCATGACTTGACTGGGACCACGCAAAAAACACCGCTCCACTTTTTGCAGCATTTCCCTCCGGAATGCCATCTGGCGCCGAGGTTCTGAAGGCTCCAGCCATTTCCGGCAGTGAAGAGCGGAATGCACTCTGGAAAGCTGGCGCGGCATGTTGGAGCCATCCTCACCGGTCCGGCCGATGGTCCGATGGTCCGTCGCTCTGTTTGACCTCATGAAAACTGAAGTTGGTCCTGCAAAAACACTATACTTAAGGCAGTACTGTCCAAACCATGCCGTGACCAGGGTGTGGAACACGGTACGGTTGAGGCGGTTGATACACCTCGATGGGGAAGGTATGGGAAGGTCCTGGCAAAGGGGGATGTGTAGGGCTTTGAAGAACATGACTGCCTGTCTCTGACTCCTACTGGAAGTGAACAAGAGTCTAGTGTGTCTAGGGATCTTACCTTAATTTGGAATGCCGAGCGATTCCAACTGATCATACTGGAATTTTCTTCAATATACTCCAAAGTCCTGCAATTATTGCCAATAGCTGTTGATTGACGTTGAATGTGCTTGACTTGACCAGCACAGTTTCCCCGTTTGTTGATGAATACGTGATGTGGTTACAGCTGATGACATAAAATCATTATACATCCCCTGTGGAATTACCGGTGAATGTCGGGAATCAGATTCTATAGTGATAAAACAAAAAACAACCTTATAGTATCAAATCTCAACCTACTGCGGTGCTGAGAACCTGTTCCCTATCAAATGGTTCAGCTCAACCTTTTGAGCAAAGCCATTGTTTTCCTCAATAAATTGTGATGCCAAAATTTGGGAAAATCAATGATGCAAATCCAAGGTTGAATTTGATTGTGGGGACAATATGAAGATTGAAATTGATTGTAGAAACTGATTGGACAAACGTTGCACAACAAATCAAGCCTCCACAAATGCAAGCGCTTTCTATAAAATGAGATAGCAATCTACCTAACCTCACAACACACAATCCACTCTGAAATCAATTCTCAGCCCTACTACTCCAAATGCTTTCTATAATCAAAAGCTACCAACCTCTATAAAATCTGGTGCATGTTCATGCCTTCTTCGCCCATGGGCATGAAAGATCCACTCAAAAAGGCACATTGTTTTAATATTTTTTGGGGGTAGGGTCCCAGGTTGATATCTCATTCTAGAGAAGTATAGTGTGTCTCAAATCTGAGGGTCCTTTTGAGCTCAACCTCGATTCGGGGTTTCTTCGGCAGGGGATTATCATTCCCATGTTTTCCACTCAAAAAAACCCTGCCTCTCCCAGGCACGTACGGCCCCGAAACCGCCCGAAACCGTCCAGGCCCAGTCATCCGCCCAAGGGGCCACCAACGTCCATGAACGCACTTCGCCACGAAGGAACCATTCTGCTCGAGCACCCCGTCCACATCTCCGGAAAACCTGCGAAGCACCGCGAAGCAAACGCGACGCGTGACGCGTCGCGTCGCCCGCCGGTGTCGGAGACGGACAACAGTGAGGGGGGCGCAGGAAGCGACGCAGAAGCGACGCGACTCGAACGTCACTTAAGAGGCTATACCAAGTCCAAAGACCCAGTAAAACCTGGTCTTTTACCTCCTTAAGTAGTGTTTTTGTATGACCACGTCCAGTCAAATGTCTTTGACCTGTAGGGTATAGCTTGACCTGTGCGGCATGGCGACGGTACCAACGGTGCGATCGGGACGCCACGACCGTTCCGCGTTCCGAAGGCCCGATCGACTTACACCGTCACATCGATAAGGATTCACAAAGGTCCTTCTTCGTGCAATGGCAAGGTTTGGAATGATTTCATGGATGTTAACCCACCCCATCGTTTCCATGTTTGGCTTCATAGGTCTTTGCAGGATGTTTGGCGGTCACATTGCCCCGTCTTGACGTAGATTTGACGAGCAGCTTGATGTAGTTTCTCATGTAGCTGTCGACGAAGAAGTTGCTCTCGTTGCAAAGCAACAGCTCGTCAAGAGAGATATTCTGGACGTGGTCAAAATACTTCTTCGGGTCATCCCGAGTCGTATTGTAGCCTCGGAAACCACACAAGTTCCGTACTAAGATCTGTCCGTACGGCGGACCTTCCGTACGGAGAAATCCGGTTATCTTTCAATTGGAAAAGGCAAACAACATTACACACCAGGACGATATGGGCATGACAGAATATCTTCATGGCCATTGACCACCCAACAGAACAAAGCTGAAAGTTTCTCAAAGAATCTCAAAGTCCTGGAATGATGCAAAATTGTTCATGATGTTTGCTTGAGAAGCAACCAACCATTATATCAACTGCTGATTGATGCTCTTAAATAATGAATGAATGCACCTCTTTTCCATCTATACATGGACTCTCCTTGTGTAGAAGCATGTAGAAGCGAAAATGGGGGACATGAGATCAAACATATGTCAAGGTATCAAGCAAGGGAGGCTTCAGTAGAGCAAGCTCCACTTGCAGAAGGATGGGCGGCCGTTGGGTTTCAGTTCAGCTGCCGCTGATGTTTTGGTCGCTCAGCCCCAGGACTCGCCACCTATAGGGGTCGAAAACGGGAAGCATCAGGAACATGGCTAAGCTTCGCATCAGGCCCTTAGCAACTTAACACCCTTACTGCCAGGGTTCGAGGGTTGTTGGTCCTGAACTGGAATCGGTGACTTGTTGGAAGGTGCAGGGGTGTGTGTGAATATATACATGGACAATGATACCTTAGTCTCAAGATTTGGAGAAGGTCCATGTTAGTACTATATAATCGATGGGTAATGACAGGTAGTAGAAGGTCCACCGGTCCACCTAATCTGAGATTATATGAGATCCATGTTAGGTCCACCACTAGTGTAGCATCCGTTTGGGACTCACTGAGTACGCATCCGAGAAGGGACCCATCGTGGCCCCCGCCGCTCACTTCGCTCACTTCTTTTGGCAAACAAGAATCCGTCGATCGAAATCAGACTGAGTCGCCAAGACCCAACCCGGACTCGGTCGATTTCGGACCCATTTCTGAGCTCCGTCTGAACTAGACCTATCACAGTTGGTCAACCAGATCTATCCCTGGTTTTCACGTCCCTCGACCTGTTGCTGGCTTCGCGCGTACTTGTCCTCAATCCCCCCTGCATTCTCCCTGGCCTTCAGTTTTTTGACCGAGAAAAGACGAGACGAATCCTCCCGGTTTTGTCTCAGAAAAACGATTCGGGGACATGTCCCCGTGGTTCAGTCTGAGTGGCTCTTGTAGAAGTCCAAGGCAAGTCCCGCGTCCCCGAAGGCTGACGCTAAGACTTCCTTAGACACATACCTCGAGCTCCGCTGCAGGTCCCGAGCCACCCAGTGTGCGGCGCAGCGGGCGCAACGGTGTTGGGCGGTATTGCAAGCGCAAGGGTCAAGGACAGAATATGGGACACTGTTCAAAGAAACACTAGATCCAACTAGGGAGTACTCCATCCTTAGCTTGGGACCAATTGAGTACTCCTGTGTAAAATGTCTTAAATATCATTTGCGTTCTGATACTCGCTCTATGAACCATCCTTTTTAGATATCAGCTGTGGCTCTACTTTTATGCCCGCGAGAGTATGTCAATAGTGGTCCTTAACATGTCATGGAGGGGCTACGGACAAAGACAAAACTCGTCAAATGCACACGAAGGTGATGTGATGCCCGATCCTCTACAAGTAGCATGTGTCCAAGCCAAACTTGGTCGACAGTTGCAGCTCCGAAGCTATATTCAACCCTCCTCATCTCAGGGTTGAGTTACTTCTGATCCCAAATTTGAGGGACAAACCAGAATATAGACCTATGACATGCTTAGGGTTGCTAGTGGGTGGATGGCGTGGGTACCAGTCCATATATAGATCACATGTATATGAAGTCAACTCTCTGAATGTAGGTTCGCGGCATTGTCTCTTCTCCTTCGTAGCCCATGGTGCCCATATCTTTTGGAGCCTCGACCAAGAGCTGGCTCGCAGCCGCTTTGAGTCGTAAACAAGGGCATCCAAAGGAAACCATCGATGCTAGCTTATTATCAACGTTACCTCATATACCGCACATACCTATATATGACAAATAACTAATTTACCCTGCGAGTCCAAGGTGCAAGTTAAACAATTTTTACGGAATAATAGAACAAGTTTAACGAGTACCTTTTGTGTGTCGAAACCCACGTCCTTTTATCCAAGCGAGTTCAAAATCACCACACTAATGGCACATATAGATCCTGCAAGAACGCACCAAAATGCAAACCATCTTCACAAATTGGTAGATTACAACATTGTAAAAATAGTTTGTCAGGATTTCCTCACTAATTACAAACATGGGGGACTAAGGACCTGTTACACTCCAGTTACGCTCCTGCTACCGTTTTAGAATGTTTTAGACGATCAGTTTGAAGCAGTTTTAGAAGTCTCCGGAAGGAGGTTGTTACGGAACGGCTCCGCTCCTGTTACGCTATTTGGTTGGCCCACAATTCAGATCTCTTTGCTCTTAATCTCAAAAAGTGAGCCTCAAAACCACCAAGAACCCTCTGACTTTACTCAAAATTGCCTTTGATTCACTTCCAAACAACCTGAAGAGATCATGAACACTATCTTTTGCTTTAACGTGACCAAGTAAGCCAAGTAAAGCTAGGTTCTAATTCTAATGAAGTACATAGTGTTCATTATCTCCAATTCTAAATGAACAGGTTAATTAACGAGGTCATTGACTTGGAGGGATTTGGAGGGTACATATCGCATGATTGATCATAGGTTTCAACTCCAACTCTTCGCCTGTCAACCTCTGCAAGCTGAAACTGGATCTTGATGGTTAGAACAAATCATCCGAGTACCTATTAAGTACCTATTAAAAAACGGACCCCCTATTAGAAAAAAGTCATGTCGGAAACCCCTAAATACGGCTTATATTTGTTTTTAAGTTACCGCCCTTTCAAGCCGCTACTAAACTACCAACATTGCCGACTTTGGAGGAGTTTTTTTAATTAGGTTCCAAAAACAACCGAAACTGCCCACCTCTGTCCGCCCTGTCTATCCACCATGACACGCCGCGCTTACACCAGCAGGCTTTCCTTCCCCCAATGGCACGGACTCACGCAAACGCACTTGCCACCGAGGTCATGCAACACCGCATGGCACAGCGACATCACCTTTCGAAAGCTTTAGCTGTTAGTCTACTGAAGAATCACTATTCTAATGAAGGTTTTTGTAGGGGAAAAGGAAGACCCTTCGATCTGGAGCTTTTTTACATTTTTGATACGAGTTTAATAAAGGATTTTATATATAGATTTTTACTGGTTTACTTTTTGGTTTTGAAGCTCTTCCCAGGTGACCCTATTTTGGACCCCCCGATTTCAGGGACCCCCTATTAGAAAAAATGCGACCGAGGTTTCCTTATTGGGGGGGGGGGGCGTGTTTTTTAATAGGTGGACGGATTAGTAACTAGTTCGGGCAGCTCTTATCTTAACATATCGATGAGGCCACCTTTGAAGGAGGGAGTAGCATGTACCTGACCTGGAAAAAATCAATGGCCCAAAGAACTTGCATTCAATTTGGTTCAATCATGTTCAATCATGTTTGCTTCCTAAAAAACGTAGTTGTCTCGACAATTGCAGGAAGGGTCCCGAATCGATTCGGAACCGAACTTTCGGAACCGAAAGTCAGCGAATGTCAAGAACCGAAATTTTTCATCAACCGAATCATTACAACCGTCAATTTTCCAAACACAACCGAACCGAAAAGAAAAACGAACCGTTCCGCTCTGTTCCGCTGTGACGTTTTTTCAGACTGTCCAAAGTCTTGAGTTTCAGAGCAGCAGTCCCCCACTGGAATGTCCATACAGCATGTCACTGGCCCGGCCCGGCTTCAGGCGCATTCATAAAATGCATTTTCCTTTCCTTTTCCTTTTAATATGCTTAGTATAGACGGCATGGAAAAGGCATATTCACAAATTGCATTCCTACCTGTCCATTTCCATTTCCTTTTCCTTTCCTTTTCAATATGCTTTTAGATTGCGAGGAAAAAGCACATTCACAAATTGCATAACCTGTCCTTTTCCTTTTCCTCTCTTTGTCAATTGCTTTGCTTTCCTTTCCTTCCTTTTCCTTTTCTCGGCTTTCCTTTCCAATATGCTTTTTGGAAGGCATGGAAAAAGCATATTCACAAATTGCATTCCTTCCCCTTGCTTTTCCTTTTCTATTCCCTTTCTTTGCTTTCCCTTCCTTTTCTTTTCTTTCCTTTCCTTTCTTTTCCTTTCCTGAAAATAGTTACTTTCCTTTCCTTGCCTTTCCTTTTGCTTTCGATTTTCCCTTTTTCTCCTGTTCTGTCCTGTCTTGTCTATAGTCTATAGTCTAGTCTTGTCTTGTCTCTTTGTCATTGCCTTTCTTTTCTTTACCCCACTGCGAAACTTATACCTCACAGAACCGAAACGAACCGTGAACCGAACCGAAAGTCCATGAAAAAGTACTTCTACAACCAAACTGAACCGATTCGAAGTTTCAATTAAACATTCAAACCGATTTCAACCGAACCGAGACCTTACTGCAATTGTTTCATCGAACAAGTTGAACGCCTTTCGCACCCAGCGCTAAACACCGCAGTGCATGGTCCTTCACATGGTCAAACCGTTCACGTCCAGGTGAAGGACGGTCCACGTCTGAAGACCGGTTCTGCGTGGTTCGTGCGCGGTGGACGACGCCCAAATGGAGGCGAGATGGATCGCCACCGAACCAGGTCGGTTTATGGTGAGGACGGAGACTATTTAAGTAGGCGGTCGCCAGGAGGCGCCCAGTCATACCGAACCTGAGAAGGAGGCAGCGGCTCCACCCAAGTGGCATGCCATTCTCTAGGGCCTAAGGGCGCCTGGACCCCTGTCCCACCTGAAAAGATGGGACTGAAAAGATGGACCCCTGTCCTCAGGTCTCAAGCGAAACTGTTGGTAGGCCAGTATCCAAGATTTCGACTAGAATCGATCGATAACAACCCGCCATATAAAAGAAAAGGTCTTACAATCCATGTCTGGATTGGATGAATCAAAACATATCCAAAGTCTCCATTGAGCCCCGTTCCGAAGAGTTTTCAGAACGGAACATCGAAATGAAACTTCGCTCTCCTCTGTCTTTCTTGCCGCACAATTTCCTGGCAAAACACATTGTCCTCATCCCAGTGATGAAAACAATAGCAAATGGCATGGTAGTTGGTGGTCCAGCGGTGGTCTAGCGGCCAATTTCCAAAACACAATACCATCAAAATCCATCAAAATACCGGATCTCCATCAAACCCGCATACGAAAGAAACCAGTCCTCAGTCCTGTGGTTGAAATATGTTGAAATCGTTCAACCTTTGGTTTAGATTGTTTTCCTCCGAATCACAAAACGATCCAGCGCTGGAGCCATGCAACGATGACAGGAAATTCCTCTTGGAATTGCCGCCACTGGTGCCCGTAGCCTGAAATCCAGGCGTCCATGGCCACGTGCACCATGGTCTCCTGGCAAAAGCGATACGATATCTCTATGGATCCACTGCCACCTATCGAACCTGAGCAGGTGCCAGGAGGCTTCAGTGAGAATGTATATTTGGATGGACAGAATTCCGTTCACCAGTTGAAGCATAGTTACAGTAGATGGGACCGTTCAATTGTGGACGGACTTGACTTCTGAAACCTCGGGACCATGGTTAGTTTGGGAGCATGCAAATGGAGTGAACTGCGTTTTTTTTTTTTTTTTTTCGGATCTCGGATTCAGTGGATCTCTGTGATGTTCCAACGTCCTTAACAGATATGAGAAATTCTTCCCTAGGGATCCAAGTACCTTCTCAGAAGGCACTTGGACCTTGAAAACCTACATAAGAGTGTCTCCAATCACCTCCTGAGAAGGTACTTGGATCCCTAGGGCTTCCTTTGGACCATACCTACAGTTTTTCCAACGCTCCGAACCCGTTCCAACCCACCCGCGCGAACCGCGAAACGCTCGATGTAACGCCTCGTTTCGCGTAAGCGGCGGACGCGATAGCAGCGACGCTGCTTAACCACGCACCGATGTGTTGGCGAAACGGGTCGTAGGACTTTTTGCGCCTGAAAAGACTGTGTACACATCCATGTTCGAAGGTGCTGAACCCGGGAACCCATCTGAACCCATGCTACCAAAGCACCTCTCGTGGAACGCTTGGAGCCCATATGAGCCCATCCCACCAGCACCTTTCTCCCCGCTCCTCTCCCGCTTCCCGCCAAGGGCCTGGTGTCCACAGCGCCTCTTGGTGGTATCATCAAAGTCATCGCAGCCAGCCAGTGCGAAGAAGGGCGAGGCACCAAACTTCCCATTCACCGGATGGAGCTCTGCGTGAAAGCCTCAGAACGACATGCGGAGCCTGGTCCGACGGGATATGAGTGACATGAGTGAGGTACGTCATGATGGCCGCTCTTGGTTGCTAAGGCTCCAAGTGCACCCGGTCTTAGCTCTATCAGTCTCAACCCGTTGAGAGCCTCCAAAAAAACAAAAAGTCTTCGTCGTGAATTCTTCTAGCATTCATAAATCATCCACATCAAAGGAGTGACTCCCACGCCCACTTTCCACCACGCACCGATGCCCGAATGCCCGAATACGCCGAATGCGCCCGATGCCGGATCTACTGCTGAGCCAGTCCAGTGGCCTAAGCGCTCTCGAATGAGCACTTGTACGATCTCCGTCATGATCTCCGAAGAGGCCCAGTTGCAGCGCAAGAGTCCAATGGGGATCTGCTTCCCGTCCTCAAGACCAAAAAAGCGAGCGAGGATTGCAAGGCAAGATGTTTGGCATGAGCAATGCTATTGGGGGGATTCGCATGACCCGATAGGAATACTGGGCCCCCCCCCCGATCTCCAAACCACGGGTTCTCTTCGCACGTCAAGAAGGTCTGTCCTCGGAAGTTCTTTCCCCCTGCCAAGATCGCATCCTTCATGGTTCTTCGACTCTTTCTTTGGAGGAAAAGCAAGTTGCTGAGGTCACACAGGTGACCTCAAAACAGCTACCCCTCTTGAGCCCAAGTCATGGTGCTGACTCAAAGGACACTTGGTTCAGCAGCTGGGGAGCGGGAGTCCTTGACTGGAAAGAAGAAACCTGGTATGGTGACATGATTTGTGTGGAGACATTCTGTGAATTTGTAGATCCGACATAATCAAAGTCCGACTGCAAGCGAGGTTTTTGCCTATTGGGAAGTGGGGATTACTCGCCCGCTTTACTGTAGCCACAAGGTGGCTCAAGTTTGCGCCATGCGGTGGCGTGAAATTTCATCGGATGAAGATGAGGAGGAACCGTTTTTAGCGCTGACGGTGGAGCAGAAAACATACTTGGACTGCAGTGACTGCAGTACATCTTTTCGGGAGTCCATTGGCTTCTTGGCTTTTCTTTCCTACACCTGGACCTCTTTGGTGTCGTTTCTTTGGCATGTTCATGCATTGTCTAAGTTTCCCTACATCAGGAATCACAGATTCCCTTGGAGCTTAGTTTGGAGAATTGGGGTATGCTAGCGACTGCACCTTGGCCCGAAGGCTTATATTTAGATTCTTATACGGAGATTATCACTGAACAAATCACTTCCTCCAAGGTAGTGGCATGGACATGCCGCTGATGGCTTTGCAGGACCTCTTTAGCGAGAAGAAACACTTGGTGAAGTACATGCGACACAGATCTGGCTTCACATGATAGCATCTGGCTTCACCTGGCTGCTGAAACCACCCCAAACCATGCACACCTGGTCCACATGACCTAGTTAGCCTAGGTTAGCCGATGTTCCATGGTCTTGCGATGTGCTGAAGCAGCCGCACCATCCAAAACCCCGCCCCACCTCCCACTCCACACAGGCAAGGCTCATTGTCCAGGATGTAGTGTCGAGCTTCTTCAGGCACTCCATCGTCTAAACAAAGCTCAGCAGCAACAGTCAAGAACCCCAACAAGCCTCGGTGCATCGCTACGCCAGTTCAACGGCTTCCCGGGTCATCCTGGGGAGATGGAAACTCCACTACATGACCGTCTTGAAAATGATATCGCAATGACAATAGTTGAAAACTGATAAGTAATGACAGCCTGAACGAAAACTACACCACCTGGTAAACGATGGGGATCAAGAACAAAAGAACACATTCACATCGCTTGCCAAAATATTTTGCCGACTGTGAGCGCGAAACCGAAGCCGGAAAGGAGGCATCCACTCCATGACTTGTCAGAATTGATGTCTCTTGCGAATCTGTGAATCTTCTTGTGTAACCATGAAACGGTGAACGGTGAATTGATCGGATATGAGACAGGCACATATCATTGGGACAGCTTCCTAATCGTTTCATGTCGCACCATGTTTCCACACCATTCCCTCATCTTTGTTTCGTCGTCCAAGCGGCCCAAGCCGTAGATGCTGACATCAAACCACGACCGAAGCAGCATGCGATCCGCGCTCGACCGCGCGCGGATCGAAGACTTCGCGCGTGGTCGAGACCGCTCTCCCGATCGAGCCGAGATGCATCTCCCGATCAAGCCGAGGTCGACCCAAAAACGAAAGTGAATATCCCAGGTCCCAGTATATATATATATATATCCCTAGACTTCCAAGTACCTTCTGAGAAGGTGGGACTGGGGTGGGTTTGGAGGGTCCAAATACCTTCTGAGGAGGTGCTTGGAGGTGTAGGGTATATGGAATACATTGAACCCATATTGAACCCCCAAACCACCCCAATGTAGGTACATAATGGTACATATATGTCAGCCCCATGGATGCTCTGGGGATGGATGTTGGCAATAAGGACTGGTAAAAAAGAAGGTCCTTCTCTTCCAGCGGACCGTTGGTCGATTTCCCGAACATGTTTTCGGAATTGATGTGTCTTGATGGATAGACTATAAAGGATACATTCCCTGGAACTAACATGGAAGTGGAGAATGGCCCCTTGGAAGACCATGAAATCCAGTACAAACAGGTCCTTTTCCACTTCCATGTTAGTTCCAGGGAGAGTATCTGATTCTAAAACCAAGAGCTTTGAGAGGTGAACGCTGGTGAAACCCATAGTCCTTTCGGGGGTCACCATGGAGTTGTAGCAGTTCCATGGAGTTGCAGCGGGTCGTTTTGGGGTCTCCCTGGATGCGACCGGGCCACCCAACTCCGAACTGCTGTTGACCAACCCTAGACCTCCAGTCGTACCTTCTCCTGAGGTTCGGTGGGACTGGGGGCCCGGGTGCCAGGAGGGTCCAGTCATACCGAACCTGAGGAGGTGCGACTGGAGGTGTATAGGTCTGGTTCTTCAGTTCGTGCCGAGCCAACGACATCTGTTCGCGTCCCATCCCCCATTGCAGCAACTCCTGTGGTTCGCGCGTCTCCTTAGCTCGTTTTGTTTTCGGCAGTGGCCGGCAGTGGTCGAACATGCCGGTTGGGTGGATTCAGGGTTGGTCGAAGGAACATCGTTGGAAACGTTTGGACATCACTGACTCGAACGCCCACTCCTCTCTTTGAAATTGGTGATGCTTCAGCTTGGCTCCATCTGAGAAAACACGATCGGCCACATCGACCAACACACACGAAAGGATTTGCTTAAGGAACTAGGAGAAACTGACGTTAAGCAAAACCAGGCACGGTGCTGCTGACAGAACCCTTCAGGATCAGTTGCCGAGCACGGTCTTCACCTCCCATTAACTGGCCCGAGAGGATGGTAGACAAGAAGAACGGCAGAAAAAATAAGTCTGCAACTCTCAGTGAGAACATCACATCCTAGAGTTGGAAAGAATTCATAGATGATGTCAGGATGTTCTATGACTTTCGTAAGTTGATCCAGGCAGTTCCCACGAATTCGTTCGTAGGTAACGTTAGTAGTGGTTCCATTCGACTTGATCCGTAGGCCGAATGAGGGTGAGGTGAGGGCCCTGGTAGTGAATTCCTGGTGCGTGTGAGCAGCTGTAGCCCTTAAGAGCCGGTTGCCCTGGTGCGTGCCCCCATGCCTGGTAGCTGTGCTTGTAGCTATCCAGTTTGGGTGGTGTGTGGGCATAGACAAATGTTTCGTACCTGGAATCGGGAGCAGCATCCAGTTCCGAAAATCAACACTTTTTGTGTTGTCCTCAAGTAGAACTGACTAAGCCTCCCATTTCCACCAAGGCTCCAATTCAGCCAATGCCTTGCCAGCACGAAGCCGACAACTCTGCAGTGTTCGAAGGAACTTCACCTGGCCGTGTGAATACCACCGGAGGTAGAATAGGAAGCAGGTACAAGTCCACCAATTGTAGTGTTGTAATGATCATCTTGTTATGTGCTGTTTGGTTTCGGGGGCGCCCCAACTAGATCGTTCAATACGATCAGCCAAGCACTGGGATCGAACTGGTTGCAGTTCTCATCGTCAGCCGCCCTCACCTCGTTTGTCCTGCCGTCGGCCCTCGCATCTCGACAAAACCCCCTTATCCAACCAACCTCGAGTCGGCACAATACAAGCCACCACATTTCGATGCTTCAGCCGGTTGAGAAGATGTTAAGCCACGTTTCAAACTGATCTGAACAGGTGATCACCTCACATTCACCACCACCGTCCCGTGCGTTGGCGAGCTCGCCCGGTGGCGAGGTCCACCTCGGCGTCGGAGAGGTCGGGATGCCAAATGTCCACGATCAGCACCAAACGCGTCTCGCTGCCTTCATGCCAGGCCTGGTAAGAGAGAAACTGGGTGAGCGAGGCTGGAAGTGTTCCGCGGCTATATAGGTCCACCGAGAGTCAGGAGGCATGTTGCTTTCTGTCTTTTCTGTTTGAGGTCAAGGAAAGCCATACATTGGGTATCTCCCCAATATCTCCCAGGGCCCAGTGGATGATGGTTCCATTACACCGACAGCTCAAGTATAGTGAACATCTTTTATAACGACTGTTGTTAGTGGCCACACCCTGGCCATGCAAGGAGTGTCTGGATTGACCTCCTTTTCAACTTGGCTGTGCCATCCTACTCCAGAGTTCATTGGAACGACTCGGGGACTCGTGGAGTAGATGAGCAAGCCAACCTGGTTCAGCCAAGGTTTCTAACATGTTGCAACATTTGTAACACAGCCTGACACAGCCGACGTGTTGCTTTTCTCGACGTCACTAAGTGTATCTTAAGCATTTTCACTGTCAGCATGTCAGCATGTATGTTTATATACCCGTAATGAACATTCATGCAGTCGAATGAACACCCCCAAAGGCTGCATCGATGTTGGGGACGTGTCTTCTTTCCACCCGCCGTCGCCACCACCACCATCCATCAACAATTAAAAAACGTTTCCATCCTCCAAGATATGTCAATAGGTCATCTTTGCATGTTGTCGACATCGTGTCGCCTTTCTTTTTTGCGTGGCAAAAAAGAACTCCCTCTCTGCCGGAATTAAACAAAAAAAACACGCACACACACGAAGAAAACCACCAAAGCAACGAAACTCACGCACCACACCTCTATCTCCGGTGATGTGGGCTCCAGGAATCCGAGCACATTGGTCCCTATTTGTCCCACGTACCGCCGCGTAACCGCCTGCGCTGCGTCACCGTTCGGCCTCATGAACCCGCCCCAAACGCGTCGCCTCGTGTTCATAGGAGTGGTCCCAAACAAAGGCCTGCCCCTCCTTCGGCTCCAAAATCTGCTCCCCCACCTGCGATCCGTGGCGAATCACGCGACGAGACGCGCCGAAGGAGGGAGAGAGAGAGAGAGAGGCGGTCGACGCGCGCGCGGCAAGCTGGGTGGAGCAAGGCGAAGCCCCGGACAGAGCCAGGGCCTTTTGGCTTGAAGGTAGGTGGAAAGGCGAAGCATGGCGAAGCAAAGACGAAGCAAGGCGAAGCAAGAGCGCTTGATGAATCAAAGCCCCAAGCGCAGCTTTCATGGATTCTTAGGGTGAGAGGATGGTGAGATTGATCAGCCAGGCGGTTCCGGCTGATTCCCTTTGCCAGGATTTCCCGAGAGCATTTCGGCCATGCTGTCCACTTGGAGATCCTTTGGGGCTGTTTCATGCTATATAAGTCAAACACAGCATAAACAAACAAGGCTTTACATTGGAGGGTTTCAACTATACACATCAAACCCTATGGATCTAAGTACCTTCTCAGGTTCGGTACGACTGGACCCTCCTGGCACCTACATAGCGGTGTCGAACACATCACCGTACCTGAGGAGAAAGTACGACTGGATCCCTAGGGAAACATGTTTCTGGATCTTCTCAACTTCCGTTTCTGGATCTTTGAGTTTTCAGATCCCAAGGGTCTCCCTAAGGGTCCAAGACCATCCGAATCGGATGGCCTAGGAGGTGAGTACGTGCTTCCTGAGAATGGTCTTTGGGGCAAAAGGACATCCGATTCGGATGGTCCTGGACCCTTAGGGTCTAAAACAGAATGCTTCGCAAACACCGCAATCACCCACCATTCTCCTGGGCACCAGGAGAACAACGTGGATGGCTGAGCTTTTGCACATGTCCCTTCTGTCAAGATGGCATCAGTGGGCTGAAGTTAGCTACATCATAAAGAACATGCATCATGCCAACCAAAACAGGCAGTGAATCCTTATGACTCCCAAAAGTAGCACCTTGGACGGTCTCCCAAGGATGCTGCTATCATGGAGTCCCTCCATGCATTGGAGGTCTGAAGCTGTGATTCCTTGCCCTACACCTCCAAGTACATCCTCAGATGGTATGACTGGACCCTCCTGGCACCCACCCCCGTCCCACATTCTCAGAAGGTTCGGTATGACTGGAGGCCTAGGGGTTGGTCAACTTCTTCCATAAGATGATGTTCGAAACAGAAGATGGACATCTCAAGACGAGGGATGGTTGACTGGTCGACGAATGAGAACGCCATCGCGCAAGTCAACACGCCGCACAACAACGAGCCAGTCAGGTGGTCCCCACAGCCAGGTGGTCCCGAGCCAGGGCAGGGTCGCGTGGTCCCACCGCAGAGGGCACCGCACGAGTGCGTTGGGACCCGTGGAAGGGACCCGTGGGGGGGACGTTCTCCAGGTGAAAACCAATGACTGGGTAGACTGGGTAGGACCTTTCATGTCTTGCGACGCCACAGGCGAAGCTTTTTTGGGGCCAAATGAAGAAACAAAACACAGGTGGAACGTATGGAGAAAGAGAATGACACTCCAACATGGTCTGAGTCTTATCTGTCATTGTTCGTATTATATACCTTTTCTTTTCGGACAGTGACAGTGACACTCCAACAATTTTTTATCCATGTACCCATCTTATCAGTCTACTTTGTAGCTTAGCTTTTGGGAGGCTACAACAGCCGGCAAGCTGCATCACTCCGTAAGCTGCCACACCCGCAGGCGGAACTTGTCAAAGCCACACAGAGGTAACCTGAGTGGATGGGGATGGCCACAGTGTTCATTAAGGATATGGAGGGGATGGTTGTAATATAAGGGATGGATGAGGACGCACTTGTAGGGTTCATGAGGCTTCAAGTTCAAACTATCTCTCCCCACACCATGGCCCTAGGAAGGCCCAGTGACTAACTCACTACGATCGGTCTTGTTGGATCCTATGATTAATGTACCATGGATGTACCTTAGGACTATATCACTAGGAGTGTTTGGGGTGGCTTGGAAGCTTATGAAAGGCCCAACTTTCAAACAACCAACTGATATGCCCACAAAAATTGAACCACCCAAACCAGGTACTGGATTTATACTGTTTCCAGCACCCCCCAGTCTGGGTGGTTGTTGCATGGAACATACATAGTCAGGGGGGTCGATCAACTGAATGTGTATAGTGGTTTCAGAGTAGATGGCACAATCCTCAAGTTTGGTGGTTTAGATGGACCCCTATCGAAAGGACATCTTGAGGTTTGTGCCATCTACTCTGAAACCACTGTAAATGATGTTTCTCTCAGCTCTGACTTGTACCGGGTCTGACTACACAGAGCTGATCCAATGATTCAACACAGCTGTACGCACTCAGCCAACACATGAAAAACAGTTTCCCTCAGATTGTTCATGACTTCCCTCGTCACCCATCAACAAGACTGAAGACTTTGCTCCAAAACAAGCCATTCCCCAGCCCAGTCACATCCCCAGCCACCCCCAGCCACAGGACACTCACAGCGTCCGTCTGATCCGTCGCGTCCAAACGCACAGCCCAAGGCGCCAAACGCGAAGCATTCGGTTCGAGGGCCCCTGGTGCTTCACAATGTGAGAACCAGGGGTGAGCGCAGAGAAGAAGGCCTCGCGCTGCTGAAGAAGGCCGATGGATCAGTTTTCATCGCATGGATGGGATGAATCATCTCAGTGAATCAATCAGAAACAAATACATCTTCTACATCTAGTATAAGTACAAAAAACACCTAGCTAGTACCAACACCAATCTCATCTATAGTACGTCCTTACAATCAAATAATACTATTCTAATTGAACCCCTGGCACCAATGTGTTGTGTTTTGACTTCTTCGACTTCGTGGCTGAAGTCAGCCATGCAGTTCATAGCCTGTTAATGTAATAATAGGTTGCTTAATAAATATAAATATGTAAAATGATCATATTATTGTGTAATGTGTATAATCAATAACTTATCCTTACAGGCTCCAAGACCCAGTAAAACCTGGTCATTTACCTCATTAGTGTTTTTGTACGATCAACCCCAGTAAAATGAGGTCAAACATGGTCAAACTGACCTGTAGGGTATACATTAATACTTGATACACTACTTGATAATACTTGATACATATTACTTGGGTATATCAGTCTATCCTAGTACCTGTAAGAGTGGATGATTATGGTTAGTCAAGGCCTTGTTCAAATAGTGATAATCGTTTACTGACTGTTACAGGAAATAAGACAGACCCAACATATTATTATTAATATGTGGAGTTGACTTACCAGGACCCACATGCATAGAGATGACCCCTGACACCATCCTTATAGCCATCCAGAAAGGGCCACCGGAGTAAGATAAAAATGACACACCCGACGAAGCTGGCGTATCTCGCCTGCCGATCACATGAATCACATTGAAGATGATGTGAAACAGGGTGGTAAAAGGATGCAAAAGGTCACTACCAGGACCCCCAGTCAGGGTGGTTAATGGACACCCTTAACAGCTAAGGGGCTATAAATAGATACCCCAAACGGAGGGTCCTGGTATAGAAGAGTATGTTACGTCAAGTGCCCATTGTTCATGTCATGGTCGGCGCTTCAGAGAATCGTCGTGCTGGTCCTTGGACGGAGTCTGTCCTTGGACGGTGCCCCACCCCGGTCCCACTCGTCCAAGGCGCGTGAGAGTAGTGACGAGGAAATGCTTCCTGGGGACCAGAAAACGGCGGGCGCTTAGACCCAGAAAAGGGCGGTCAAACGGCAGGAAGACGACCCAACCCCTAATTTGGATTCTTTTGCCATGGTCAATCGGAATTTCTGGGCAACAGTGACATCTCTAAACCAACCTGAAGTAAAGCCTCTTAATTAGTTGAGGTATGTTGAGGTTATTAACTTTATGCACCACTTTCTTTTCTGAGTCCAGTTCTGCAAACGATTCACCTAACGATGTACTTCCGAAAGCCCCCAACACCGAACACCGACACTCAGCAGCCGCTCACTCGCCCTAGCCCGAAGCTCGGCTCCGGGAAGTCCTCCGGACTTGCCGTCCCAAACAAGCACCACGGTCGCGCGAGGAACACACCCGAATCTCTCCGACCGGGTGTTCCGGTGTACTGCGAACTCGGTTCAACAGCGAGGGGTCCTGTGCCTTTTCGGAAAGCAACTCGCCAAAAGCTGAGCAGCTGACACGACCGTTTGGCGGCCGAGCTCCCCTCAGCCCGGGGGTCCGTCCTCGATGGCTCGCACCGTCTTTGGGAAGCGGATGCAATTGTCCTCGCAGCGCAAAGCTGCGGAGGAATCTGATGCGAGGGCTCAAGGCCACACCCATTTTGTGAGCACTGAAATTGCCTTCGATGTTGAATCGAAGTGCCACAGAACAGTCCCTTTGTCCATGGCCCAGGTTCTCGAAAGGAGTCCATAGAAGGAAATTAATATCCCATACATTCCATGTATGCCATATATGCCTACATTGACCCCCCTGGCACCACCCCAGTGTAGGCATCTATGGCAGTCCCATGGAGTGTGTGGGTATGGATCCACTGCCTGACTGAGATCTCTTGAGAAGGTGTTTGATACTGAGACTGACTTTTGAAGGTCCAGTCAAAGCTTCAAAGGTCCAGCCGTTGGATCCCCAAAACCCCGTGACCGGGCACGTGTAAAGGATGCAAAAAAGGTGAACACCCGCGGGGTGGGGTTGAAACTCTACCCTCCAGTCGCACAAAAACTGCAGGGCTTCCAAATGTTTCCCTGGATCTGTTAAGCTTCAAGAAATGCCAAGTTGTTGTCTGTCTCTGGAGCCGAGTTTGCGGATATATCATGATAAAATCAGTCTATCATAGTCCCTCCAAGATATGAAGCATCTGCAATTGATTGGCTCTGTGATCTTCCATGTCTTGGCTCAGTTGCGACTTGGAAACTGTCAGTGGCTGTGGCTAGTCGCGCCCCCTCAGGAGCCCGCGAGCCCTTTGTTGTGTTCTTTTGGTAGGGATCCACGACATTCGTTGAGAAGATGATGAAATGCAGGACTCAGGATCCTCCATATGGTGGTGGGTCCAAATTCGGTTGAGCACCAATTTCTCTCAGATCGGGATGTTCACCTTCCATGTGTTTGGTGAGGCTTTGACCCCACGGACACAAAAACGATCGCTTTTCAAACCGACGAAGCTTTGGACCACTCCTTTCGTCCGTCCTGACTCAGCCGAATGAATTGCGGATCCCGAAAGGACTATGAGATTCCTTCCCTTCAAACAAACACATATATCTCCCTACACCGACTTCGTCGCACCGAACTCAGGTTCGGTATGACTGGAAATTTGCTGGCACAAGGGCCCCCCAGTCCCACCGAACCTCAGAAGGTACTTGGAAGTCTAGGGTCTGTTCATATCTGTTCGGTTCATGCTTTCAAACACTTGATCGACTGGCACTTCGACTGACTACGGTACATGTTATGTGGTGAAAAGGCCTCAAACTCTAGGCCTAAGTTACTATAAGCATAATTACATTGGGCGCTAGTGTTGGAGTGTTCAGCTCGAGCAAACAACCATTGTTCATTCCGAAATCGTCAACTGGGAGGGAACAATAGTAAACAATTGTTTTTTTCCGACCCAGCATTATTCCCACACCCTGAATAAATTTATGTGGGTCAAATTGACCCAGGGTATGTAATTGTTGCTTTAATTCAGGCTTGTTTTACCTTCCAACCGGACATGGAAGCAAATCAGCCTCAAACTGCTTGTGGTTCAGGAACAGGTAGAGGACGTTCCACATTCCTTTGTCGACACCTGCCATCCAGTCGAGTTCCTAGCATGTGGATCCAATTTGTACGTGCAGGTTGCCACCCGAAGATGAAATGCAAGCCTTGAGGAAGGTAAAGCGATTTGTCTTTGAGCGAAAACCCACAGAGCAATGACTTGGGCGCAAAATCTTCGGGTGGCTGAGCCGCATGTTTGTGGCACTTTGGAAAGGGGCGGAACCAATTGGTTTGGACAAACATCTGCACGTCCACATTCCACATGTGTCCACACCAAACCGGAGAACCCTTATCCCCCAATGCCTCGCACAAAACCAATGGATTCCATGTGATCTCCACATGTTGACCTTGCATTTCTGAAGGAAAACACATGGAGAACACACCCTGGTGAGCAGTGCATGGCATCGCGAATGGGATATGACCCACTCGACAGGGACCCTCTAGATGATCCAAGCTGATCCATGCAAGTGCAAACTGCGGTGTGTCACGCTGTTTGCAAACATTCCCAATAGGGATCCAGTCGTACTGAACCTCAGGGTGAGGAAGGAGAAACACTGGAGACACGACACTTCTGTCGGTGTCTTCCGGAGGTCCATCCGACAGCGACTGCATGTGGTCCCACTGCATGCGCGACTCGATGTAGTGGACTTCTAGGCACGTCCAGGTGTGAAAAGAACATGACTTGCTTGGCTGGAGACACCAGGCTGACACCCAGCCACTGGTGGCTGGACGCCAATATCTACCATCGACTACTATACTACAACTCTCTTGCGTATTATGATGCATTATTGCTAATCTTCTGATCTGCTTGTTTGGAGCGCTCGTGTGCTTCGCTCGATCATGTCATTAAACATGACTACCCTACGCACCCAAACCCTATAAATTTGTAGGGTCGATGGAAAAACCTAGGGTTTCTGAAGGAAACCCCAGGTTTTCCAAACCAATATTAAAATACGGGTTTAGTACGGGTATGTACGGGTTAAATATGGGTTTAGTACGGGTTAAATATGGGTTTAGCACGGTTTAGAAAAGCAAGACCTGAGGTTTTAAGAACAAACCTGAGGTATTTTTGATTTCACAAGAATACCCGAGGTTCCGATTGAGACCCTACAAATTTATAGGGTTTGGTTGCGTAGGGTATGTCCAAAGGGAGCTCTGACTATTTCTGCACAATTCCGATCACTATACCTAATCCAAAACAAACATTTGATGTAATTACCTCTGACTGGCAAAGTCGATTCAGAAGTCCCAAAGCAACATAAGAGAGCTCCTTCAAACCACCAGTCTTCCGGGCTCGTCTCTGCCCTCCGTCCGTCGCGCACGGTCGCGCACGGTCGCGGCCTTCCACCCCCAGGCCATCGGCCGCGCGGCGCGTCTCGCCCGACGGGTGGATTGGATCGCGGTAGGGCTGGAAACCGCTGGGTGCGCTCCTCACGCGTCCGGCTGAGACGCGAGACGCGACGGCGCTGCGCTTCAGGCCGGCTGGAAGGGAGGCGTCGCGTCGGACCGTGGGACGGGAGGTCGGACGAGGGGCCAGGTCGCCCGTGTGGAAAAGGGTTGGCGGTGAAGGCAGTTGGCCACGGCCCAACCACTTGCCACGTGGCGTGTTTGGGGCAAGCAAGTTCTGAGAGGATGCGCGGCTAGAGGATGCGTAGCAAAGGGTCCAAAAGAGGAACAACTAAAATAAAAGAAGGCCTGAACACATGCCTGAACGGGATGGTTGTGGCATGTTGTCGCAACCTGGAGGCCTCAATTCTTACTCCTTAAGTGTGTGCAGGTACCTATCTTTATGGGGTCTGGGGGCTTTCAGCGGCCTCTTCCGGCGAATAGGGAGCTTAGGCTAGCATGGCTAGTCGATAGCTGGGCACGTGCCACGGTAGCTGGGCACGTGCAAACCACACGGGAATCTCCACAGATCTCCCAGTCTATGTTCCTGTTTGCAGGTCTTTGGGAGGTCCCGCATTGCACTTGCTCATGTTTCAGGGACTCACCCTATGTGCACATACATGTGTCGTTAATTCAAGTGTTTTCCTGGTTAGAGCCTTCTTTTTCTGCAATACACACCCATGTCTTCTGAATCCCTCAGTTTCCCTACCAACAAATGTTATTTCCACCTACAAATACCAAGCTGTACTTGGGTGTCCAAAAATCGCTCCAAACAGCTGGTCCCCAACCATGTCCCCGTCACCAACAATGACGGTGACTTCATCAACGCGTCCGCTACCGCTAGTCCGCTACTGGTCGGTCTCATGACGACCGCGGTCCAAGGCTCGTCTTCCGCACTGCCATGAGCTCCGCCAGAATCTCACCCTGACGAGCCTCGCGGTCGGGACCCCGCGGGCGTCGTCGGGTGGTTCGGGGGGTTCGGGAGTGAAGGCTTGGGAGTGAAGGCTTGGGAGTGAAGGCTAGTCCAAGAACAGCATGAGACTGGAATAGATGCTGCCCCCAGATTTCGACCCAAAAAACATGAACCAAAAAGAGGTAATATGGAGTGTCTGGGTCTGGTGTGGTATACGCATCCTCCAAGTCCGAGACATAAAAGAACACAATGAAAAGAACCTACAGTAAAATGATCAGGTCATTTCAGGTGTAACTTATTTTTTTCCTCCGCCGTGGAGGATTTGTTCATCCAAACACGCACTGAAACTGTTCGAAGTGGCGACATGGGGAGAGCAGGAAGAAGACTGCTGGACCTGAAATAGAGTGACAAAATCCACCCTTGCTTGGGCTCTACAGTGTCTAATCCAATCTACAACCCTGACTTTTGTCAAGGTTGGCATAGTCTGCAAGAGAACCTTGCAAGTATGTTTAATATATATATCAACCAAACATGTCTGAAGCCTTAAGCATCCATGGAGGCGCTTCACCTGGTGATATTGGAGAACCTAGCAAAGAAGAACAAACATCTTCCCAAACCCTTATAAAACACATTTAAAAACAACTATGATGTGCTGGATCGAGCTTGACTGCTCTGCAATGTTGGGGGGTGCTGCGTTGCATCGCCCCATCTTCTATATGCGTGCGTTCGGTCTTCGTCGAGCAGGCAACAGCCGAAATGAGGAGGTGTGGTTCCAAAATCCACTACCATCATGTCATACACTCGTGAGACGGAAAACCTTGAAATGCAGTTTTTGGATCTCATTTTGGAACCACTGTCATCTCCTCGCTCGACTTGTTATTGTCATGGATCTTACATGCCTCAACACAAATTGCCAACTCGTAGTTGGTGTCACCAGTCCAGATCGTCCTGCTTCACAAAAACGGGAATTAGGGGGTTCCAAGATTTTCCAAGTGCCTTTCCGATTACGCTGTGATCCACAACAATCCCAGCCACTGGTGGGCTTCGCCATGAAGGGACCCCAACAGGGACAAAGCCATGTTGAGCCTGAACAACAATACTAACTGCCAAGATAGAAACATCTTCCCAACAAACAAGCATTGCAAGCACTGTGTTTGCTTTTGTTTGCGGCTACATGCACCAAAGTCGGAGAAAAACAACAACAGAATCTGCTGAATCAGCAAATGTTGCATGATGTTGCAGGAGAAAGCCAGTCATGTTGAGCCTGAACAACTGATGACCGGAGGTCCAAAGCAAAGGACTTCGGTCTTTGATTGCCAGTTGCTGACATTCTATATGCGTGCGTTCGGTCTTCGTCGAGCAGTCAACAGCCGAAATGACGAGGTGTGGTTCCAAAATCCACTACCATCATGTCATACACTCGTGAGACGGAAAACCTTGAAATGCAGTTTTTGGATCTCATTTTGGAACCACTGTCATC